AAGAGGCAGAGTATGAGGCAGTGTAGTGAACGAGGGCAGGGTATGGTAGTGTAGTGGACGAGGTAGTGTGGAGTCAGTGTAGTGGAAGAGGGCAGAGTATGAGCAGTGTAGTGAACGAGCTGGGGTGTGAGCAGTATAGTGGACGAGGCAGGGTATGGAGTCAGTGTAGTGGAAGAGGCAGAGTATGAGGCAGTGTGGTGAACAGGGCGGGGGTATGAGGCAGTGTAGTGGACGAGGCAGGGTATGAGGCAGTGTAGTGGACGAGGGAGGTTATCAGAGTGTAGTGGATGAGACAGGGTATGAGGCAGTGTAGTGGACGAGGCAGGGTATGAGGCAGTGTAGTGAACGGAGGCAGGGGTATGAGGCAGTGTAGTGAACGAGGCAGGGTATGAGTCAGTTAGTGGTGAGGGCAGGGTATGAGGCAGTGTAGTGGACGAGTCAGTGTAGTGAACGAGGCAGGGTGTGAGGCAGTGTGGTGGACGGAGTCAGTTTGAGTGGACGGGCAGAGTATGAGGCAGTGTGGGGACGAGGCAGGTATGATGCAGTGTAGTGGACGAGTCAGTTTAGTGGACGGGCAGGGTATGATGCAGTGTGGTGGACAGGTCGGGTTTAGTGGACGAGGCGGGGTATGATGCAGTGTAGTGGACGGGTAGGGTATGATGCAGTGTAGTGGACGAGGCAGAGATTGTTATGCAGTGTAGTGGACGAGGGTAGGGTATGATGCAGTGTAGTGGACAGAGTCAGTTAGTGGACGAGGCAGGGTGAGGCAGTGTAGTGGACAGAGTCAGTGTAGTGGACGAAGCAGGGTTGAGGACAGTGTGGGGACGGGCGGGGTATGATGCAGTGTAGTGGACGAGTCAGCTTGGTGGATGAGGAGGGCAGGGGTATGGGGGCAGTGTAGTGGACGAGGGCAGTGGAACGGTGTAGTGGACAGGGCAGTATGAGGAGGCAATTTATGGGGACAGGTAGGGTATGGGGCAGTGTAGTGGACGAGTCAGTGTTGTAGACGAAGGGGTTGATACAGTGTAGTTAACGAGGAGCAGAGTATGAGGTAGGAGCAGTGTTGTGGACATTAGGAGTTGTGAGACAGTGTATGGACGAGGCAGGGTATGAAACAGTGTAGTGGATGAGGCAGATTTGAGAGTGTAATGGACGAGGCGGGGTATGAGACAGTGTGGTGGACAGGGCAGGGTATGGAGACAGTGTAGTGGACGAGGCAGGGTATGAGGCAGTGTAGTGGACGGGGCATATTATGAGAGTCAGTGTGTAGTGGACAGGCAGGGTATGGAGACAGTGTAGTGGACGAGGCAGGGGGGTGTGAGGGCAGTGTAGTGGACGGGCAGGGGGTGTGAGACAGTGTAGTGGACAGGGCAGATTGTGAGTCAGTGTGGTGGACGGGCAGGGTATGAGACAGTGTAGTGGACAGAAGCAGGGTATGAGGCAGTGTAGTGGACGGGCAGGGTATGAGACAGTGTAGTGAACCGAGGCAGATTGTGAGTCAGTTTAGTGGACGAGGCAGGTATGAGACAGTGTAGTGGACGGGCAGGGCCAGGGACAGTGTAGTGGAGCGAGTCAAGGTTTGAAGGACAGTTTTAGAGGTCGGGGGCAGGGAATTATGGAGACAGTGTAGTGGACTGGCAGGGGTATGAGACAGTGTAGTGGACGAGGCAGGTTTGAGACAGTAGGTCAGGGGCAGTGTGTGGGACAGTGTAGAGGTCGGGGCAGTGGTATGAGGCAGTGTAGTGGACGTGGCAGGTTATGAGTCAGTGTAGTGGACGTGCAGGGGTATGAGACAGTGTAGTGGACAGGGCAAGGTTTGGGGAGACAGTGTAGGGACGAGGCAGGGTGTGAGGCATTGCAGTGAACGAATCGAGGGAGAAGGGTGGTGGTGGCAGATAACGAGGGAGTTTACCAGCCTCGCCTTGGGCAACAGTGGAGAGGACGAGGATCAGAAAAAAGCGTCTTTGCCCCATCACCAGGCTTCCTCCTCCTCCTCCTTCAGGTTATGAGCGTGTGGAGGCTTTGCAGGAATAAAATTACCCTCCATGTCATGCCAGGCACCCGTATAAGCTGAAAAACTATAGTGGAGGTTACAGACGATGGGCTGGATTTTGTGTGTGTGTGTGTGTGTGTGCTTTCTCCTTTTTGGTCCTGGGTGGGAAGATAGTATTCGCTAAATATTCTCAGGGTTTACATAACAGGATGTTTCAAGGAGGTCTTAGTTCTTTATAAAGATGTCTTGAAGTGAGAGACTAAATTTACTAAATAAAATAACTTAAACCTCAAGTAGAAATGTCGTTTTAAAGGCAATCACTGGCTAATATGGTAAAGCAGAATTTCAGGATATCTTAGAGACATGCCAGCTAGTGTGTCGTCAAAAGTGAACTGTCGTAGTAGTAGAATTCACGGCGTCTCCTCCTCCTCCTCCTCCTCCTCCTCCTCCTCCTTCCTCCTCCTCCTCCTCCTCCTCCTCTTCCCTGGGGATGGTGATCGGCTTTGTGCAGGTCAGCTGAGTGAAGTGGACAGTGTCAGACAAGATGCCTCTCAGGGGTGTGTCACTGGAGTCGCCACTGAGGGGTTGAGCGGAGATTAGAGGCGATTACTGCCGTTGCCAGGGTTGAAGAGGTGGACGCGGACCAGTGGGTGGTATGGCATGATATAAGACGTATTGTGTGGACCATGTGGATGCGATCAAGTACTTCGGAGGGGGCTAGGAAGGTCTGAGATCATTTTAATTTGGATAGATTTGGAGTGGAAGGCCTTAAAATGTGTTGTAACTTTTTAAATGAGGTGGCCGAGGTCACTTCATATTGGTCTGGATAGAGTTAGGATGGTCACCAGGGTTAGGTTGAGGGTTAAGTGAATTTAGGTTAGGTTTGGTTTGGGCTGTGTTTTGTTAGATTTGGTTTGGTTGGATTTGGGTTGGATGGCTTGGGTCAGATGGTTGGCTGTTGGTTGGGTTGGGTTACATTAGGATTAGATTAGGTTGGTTAAATTTGATCAAACTAAGGTTCAGATAAAATCAAATTACGTTTAACTACAGTATGTTAGTTTGACATAAAGATGATAGCTCCAAGTTAGGTAAGTACGCGACACTGCCATTTTACCGACATATTAACCAAAATTATTTCTCTGTTTTTCTGTTTTTACTTTGTCGTCTTAGATAAGAACTTTCATCTTCAGTTTCAACTTTCTTCCTGTGTTCATTTATACCTATATTATTTTCCTCTGATCGTCTCTACTGACATTGTCTTCCTCGATAAAGATCTTTCTCTTCAATCTCAACTCAAGTCTCTGTATGGTCTTGTCATTATAACTTACTAGCACCAAATTACCTCATTATCCCCAAATTTGCTTCAACCTTGTCTCTGAAACCACTTTTCTGGTTTCGTCTTTTTGACACTTTCTTAGTTTTTGTTTCTAATTTGTCTAAATTTCTAATATTTCTCCTCATTTCTAAGTTTTCACTCTTTTTGTATGATTTATTTTATTATATTTCCTGTCTCATTTTATTTACTAGTTTCTCTTCGGCTTCTTCTTCATCTACAGTTTGTTTTCGTTATTTTTGCTTTGTTTCTTTTTAGTTTTATTACTCAAAATTTTTAAAATGTTTTCTACTTTATCTTTGTTTCTTTTAATTTATTTTATTTCTTCTATCTTGTCTTTCAATACTTAACTGAATTTGCAGATCTTAGTAGGTTAGGTTTGTTAGGTTAGGCTAGGTTAGTTAGGTATTTTTGCCAACTAAATATATTTATCAGTTACCTTCTTAGGTACGTAGAGTCTGCAAAAACGAAATGTATTCTTATATTTATGTTTCCGACGTGTGTGTGTGCAGTGGATAAAAGGGTAAGCACTATTATCAAAACTAAATGCAAATACTAACTTAAAGATATAAGTTCAGTAAACAAAAAGAGCATCGGGTCGCAATAGAATCAGGGAGGTAAAAGCAAATAATAATACGGGAATATGATAAACTAAAGAGCATCGAGTCACAATAGAATCTGTGAACGAAAAGCACGTACACCAGTTCGCGAGTATATAAACATTAAACAAAGGAGCATCGAGTCAAAAATGAATCAGGGAAGTAAAGTAAATACTAACCCGAAAATTATATACTGTACATAAACAAAAGCGCATCGGGTCACAAAAGATCAAGGAAGAGAAATGTCTTACATATAAAAACCTTAGTATTTTTTAAAGATAAACTCTGTGAGGACAGACAGACAGACGTTGAATCTTGAAAATGAACTGGAAAAGAATGTAACATTATATAAAGTTGAGTAGTGGAACAGAAAACACTGATTTAATATTCCTCCATCTTATTTCATTTCTGACTTTATTGTTCTTCGTTTTGTATTTGTTTGTTTTTCTGTAAAAAAGAGTTAAACTCAAAACAGTCAGAGTACCAGTCAAACGCAGTTAGAACAATGTATAAGAGATAGATTTAAGTGTTTTGGGTCATGTATGGGACATGCGACGACAGGAAACGTGAAATCAAGATCATCTATTGTACTGAGTAAATTAATTAAGTATAAACGTAAAGATATATTTACCATCCAGGGAGACGTGAGGGATAAATAAGTGATTTAATTAAAGTATTGAAAGACTTTAACTTCGGATATACCTGAATATAAATAAAATATAACAAACTTATGGGAATTACTGAGTGGTCTTACCTGTGACAAAATATCTACAACAAAAATGAGGACAGTGACATGGTTTAGAAATAAGGAAGATGGGAGGTGTGGGATGTTGATGCTATTGGGTGTGAAATTAGGTTTGACAGAGAAATGATTATTATTATTATTATCATCATCATCATCATCATTATCATATTATCATTCATTATTATTATCTTATTATCATTATCATTATTATTATTATTAGTGGTAGATTAGTTGTAGTAGTTATTGACAAGATGTAGAGACAACAGGAATATTGTTTTATAAATATTTTTTATATAGTTAATTTTCCGGAGGTATTCAATTACGGCGGCGATGCTGGAGGTGTCGGGGCATTGGATTTCACCACACCCCAGTCCAGCCTTCTGGGCGGTCCTCAGCTTCCCCAGGACAGGGAGGTTTAAGGTGTACGGACGCCCAAGACAGTTCGACCACCACAGCCCAGTCCAGCCTTCTGGACTGTGCCTCGAGCTACTGCTCGTGGGTAGAGCGAGCACCTTAGGCATAACAACAGAGGCTCGAACAGGTTTTGCAGGTTTTCCTTGGGAGCCACCTCTTTAGGCCACCGTCAACTAGAAGTACTTGAATGGGTTTACGACCTTTGCGTTGGCAGGGTTTCCTGCAGGCTTAGATGTGGGATCTATTTCAACACAACACGATTGTGCACGATAAATGCATACTTTAGTGACTACATACAAACACAGTGTAAACAATATTCTTAAATAACATGCAGGTGTATATACCCTAAGAGAATAACTCTTTCAGGTCTGTGTATACTTCCTGCACCTACAACTTCAATAGACACTATCTATACAACTGTTGGTCCTTTAACCCAATTGCAACTTCAGTGTTCAACCCTCAGATGTTTCAAGTCACATTGAGGCTGGGAGCAGGAAGAACCTTTGTTCTCGACTACAAAGAATATACTGTACGTAATTAAACAACTTCATTATCGGTAATGATGTGTTATACAGAGTAGTTGTTTTACATGTTGCAGGTAGTTATTTGTATTTAAGAGTTATTGTTTACAATGTTGCAAGCATTTGTATGTTGCAGGTAGTTATTTTGTGTTACAGGTAGTTGTTTAATGTGTTGCAGGTTGTTGTTTATATTTGCATTCTTTTTCTTTTTCTTTTTTGCAGAATAGCCCACCAGGGCACAGGTCAAGACCCCTTCAGGGCCTGGGGCAAAGTATAATAATAATAATAATATATAATAACTAATATATATATATATATTTATATATATATATATATATATATATTATATATATATATATATATATATATATATATATATATATATATATGTGTGTTTGTGTGTCACACGAGAATCTCAGAACCTACTTACCGATATGTGACGATGGATGGTGTTATATGTAGTGATGATGGATGGTGTCATATGTTGTGATGATGGATGATGTTATATGTAGTGATGAGGATGTTGTTATATGTAGTGATGATGGGTGAAAATTGTTATATGTGGTGATGATATGCGGCAATGAAGCCTATGGAGAATTTTTAATTTTCCCATACACGAACGATGTCCAACAGTAGTTCATCTGGCTGTTTTACCTGGAGAAAGTGGACAGAGAGTATACTTCACAGAAGAGTCCTCCAAAATCAAATGGCAAATCCTGCTGATACGACCCTCACTGCATTCTTCAATCTTTGGGAAAGCAATACGTAACTTCTA